TTCCGGAAATTGACAGATTTAGCATATCAATTTATTTCGCAAGTGTTTGTTTAAAACAACTATTAGTTTCCTTTACACACATGATGGTGATGACGATTATATTCATGATAATGATGATATTAATAGTTATAATGATAATAATAGTATTTATGATAATATGATATTAAGGATGACAGTAATCATAATGATGATAACTAAAGTAGCAATAATGATAATGATAATAGGAACAGTAATGATTATGATAGTAGTAACAATAATGACAATGATAATAGAAACAATACTGATATTGACAGTTGACAGTAGCAATTAGGACACAGCCAAGTGGCACAGCAACCCCCTAACCCCTCGCCCCCCTCCGCGCAGATCGCCAGGGCGGCTCGGAGAAGAACGACCCGCACCGCTTCGTGGAGGGCATGAGCTTCAAGGGCAAGCTGATCGGCGTGCTGGAGGTCTCGGAGGCGCGCGGCGACCGCATGTGCCAGGACGCGCTGGCCGAGCTCAAGATGGCCGTCCGCGCCGCCGGGGAGCACAAGCAGCGCATCCTCATCAGCGTCGCCATGGATGGGATCCGCCTGCGCGACGAGAGATCCAGCGTAAGGAATGGGGAAGGGCTGATAATGGAGGAGGAATGGGGAGGGGGAGGAAAGGAGGGAGGGAGGGGGAGGAGATGGGGAGGGTAGGGTAGGGAGGAGGAGGAGGATGGGGAGGGATAGGAGGAAGGAGAGGAAGAGGAGGGGGGGGAGGGGAGGGGGGGATGGGGGGGAAAGGGGCATAGGGGGGGAGGAGGATGGGGGGGAGGGGAAGAGGAGGGGGAGGGATGGAGGGAAGGAGAGGAGATTAGGGGGGAGGAAGAGGGATGGAGGATGGTAGGGAAAGAAGGAGGAGGATGGGGGATGGTAGGGGAGAGGAGGAGGGATGGGATTGTAGGGGGGAGGAGGGGAGATGGGGATGGGGGGAGGGTGAGGGTAGGGGGAGAGAGGGATGGGGGGATGGGAGTAGGAGGATGGGGGATGGTGGGAGGGAGGAGGATGGGAATGTATGGGTTAAGGAGGAGGAAGAGGAATGGGGGATGGTAGGGGGGAGGAGGAGAGGGATGGGGGATTGGGGGGGAGGGGGAAGGGACAGGGGAGGAGGAGGAGGAGGGAGGGATGGGATAGTAGGGAGGAGGGAGGAGGAGGTGGGATGGGGGATAGGGGGGAGAGGAGAGGATGGATGATAAGGTAAGGAGGAGGAGAAGGGATGGGGTGGATGGTATGATAAGGAGGAAGAGGAGGAGGGATGGGGATGGTAGGGGGCAGGGAGAGGAGGAGGGATGGAGAGGGGGAAAGGGCAGGGGCAGGAGGAGGGATGGGGGATGCTAGGGGGGGAGGAGGAAAGGAAAAGGGGGGGGTGATGAGGAGGAGGGGGAGGAGAGGGGTAGAGGGTGAAGAGGAGGAAGAGGATCTGGAGGAGAGGGTGAGGAGGAGGAAAAGGAAAGGGAGGTAAGGGGGATCGGTGGGGAGAGGAGGAGGAGGAGAAGATTGAGAGAAGAGGAAGAGGAGAGGAGGAGGAAATGGGAGAGAAAGAGGAAGAAGGATGAGTAGGAGAAGGGGGAGGAGGAGAGGAAGGGAAGGAGGAGGAGGAGGAGGAGGGAGGAGGCAGGGCACCAAGACCCCCCTCCTGGGTGTTCTGGAAATCCTATTCTCTCTCTGTCTTCGTCACTTTGTATTTCATGTTACATTTTTCTTTTTTCTCTTCTCTCTTCTCTCTTCTCTCTTCTCTCTTCTCTCTCATTTCTCTTTCTCCTCCCTTCTCTCTCTCTCTCTCTCTCTCTTCTCTCTCTCTCTCTCTCTCTCTCTCTCTCTCTCTCTCTCTCTCTCTCTCTCTCTCTCTCTCTCTCCTCTCTCTTCTCTCTCTCTCCTCTCTCTCTCTCTCTCTCTCTCTCTCTCTCTCTCTCTACTCTCTCTCTCTCTACTCTCTCTCCTCTCTCTCTTTCTCCTCTCTCTCTCTCTCTCTCTCTCCTCTTTCTCTCTCTCTCTCTCTCTCTCTCTCTCTCTTCTCTCTCTCTCTCTCTCTCTCTCTCTCTCTCTCTCTCTCTCTCTCTCTCTCTCTCTCTCTCTCTCTCTCTCTCTCTCCTCTCTCTCTCTCCTCTCTCTCTCTCCTCTCTCTCCTTCTCTCTCTCTCTCCTCTCTCTTCTCTCTCCTCTCTCTCTACTCTCTCTCTCTCTCTCTCTTACTCTCTCTTTCTCTCTCTCTCTCTCTCTCTCTCTCTCTCTCTCTCTCTCTCTCTCTCTCTCTCTCTCTCTCTCTCTCTCTCTCTCTCTCTCTCTCTCTCTCTCTCTCTCTCTCTCTCTCTCTCTCTCTTCCTTCCTCCTCTCTCTCTCCCTCCTTCTCTCCTCTCTCTCTCTCCTTCTTCTCCTCTCTCTCTCTCCTTTCCTCTCCCTCTCTCTCTCTCCTCCTCTCCTCTCTCTCCTCTCTCTCCTCTCTCTCCTTCCTCTCCCTCTCTCTTTTCTCTCCTCTCC